ATCTTAAATTATCACGTGAAATTTACAGTTGTCACCACATAGTGAAATTTAATAAACAAAAAGAAGAAAGTCAGGTGTTCCTTAAAACTGTTTTCAGTATATATGAAAAAATGTTATTCTGGTCGAATTAAGGACAGGTAAGAATTCGTCAGTTTCGAGTAACTTCCTAGTTCACTGCGTTAAGTGACATTATGCATTGTTTCCAAGTGTTATGTTGTAGACTGTATTCTAAAAATCAACACATAATTATGTTTATATGCAGTTTGACCATTGCTAAGAAATAGTTATTTTTTTATCATAACTAATAACAGATGTCTTTAACAAAATGACGCCTGGGATATATTTGACAGAGATCTTAAATTATCACGTGAAATTTAATAAACAAAAGAAGAAAGTCAGATGTTCCTTAAAACTGTTTTCAGTAAATATGAAAAATGCTTATTCTGGTCGAATTAAGGACAGGTAAGAATTCGTCAGTTTCGAGCAACTTCCTAGTTCACTGCGTTAAGTGACATTATTGCATTGTTTTCCAAGTGATTATGTTGTAGACTGTATTCTAAAAATCAACACATAATTATGTTTATATGCAGTTTGACCATTGCTAAGAAATAGTTATTTTTTTATCATAACTAATAACAGATGTCTTTAACAAAATGACGCCTGGGATATATTTGACAGAGATCTTAAATTGTCACGTGAAATTTACAGTTGTCACCACATAGTGAAATTTAATAAACAAAAGAAGAAAATCAGGTGTTCCTTAAAACTGTTTTCAGTAAATATGAAAAATGCTTATTCTGGTCGAATTAAGGACAGGTAAGAATTCGTCAGTTTCGAGTGACTTCCTAGTTCACTGAACACCGATTAATATTTGGCGTCCATTATGTATACTGTCCAATTTGAGAACAGCTTGGTGTATTGTCTCATTTGTGTGTCAGGACAAATTTGAGTTCTAGTATGATTCTAGGAAGGTTTTATTTTTGACCAGTGTATCTGTGCAGTGCATCCCAGCCATGTTGCATCAGATTAGGGTCATAATCAATATCTTCCCTTGCTACTTTGTCAGACACTTCATTTGACCTGTGGAGGTGAGTTTTATCTTTCATAAACAGAAAATCTTATTAAGCAGAAAATCAAATTACCTTGGATAACTAGACATGATCCAGGAGCATTTCAGTGCAATACTACTGTGATGTCACTGTACCTCCATCAAAGATACAAAAAGGAATTCTGATGAGCACATGATACATTACCATCAGTTATCACAGCTATGAATTTCTGGACATTTGAATGATGGTTATGAGTTTCCTTCCCTTTACAAAATACCCAGTATCCTGACTCACTGTTGTTGGGTGAGTAGAGTTTGTCAGAGAATATGACTTGTTCTTGTTGACCACCACAAATATGCTCTTTACAACAGTGTAATCTCTGATGATGCTGGCATTGGTTCTTTCCCAGATATCCGAATGCTTGAACTCAACATACATGCTCAGATTGTATGTCTTATAGCAACTCCTTACTCAATTATTACCACAAGAACTTAAATATTGCAATAGTATTTCCAAAAACTGACAATATATTTTTTCTCAAACATTATTGCTTCTAGTTATGAATAAGAAGACAGCATATTTGAACTTCCTGTTAAACAGATGAGAGGTCCTGCCCTGCAACATACTTTGCTTTGATTTTTCCTATTATTGCACAGTTGTCAGGAGTGAAAATTAGATATGTTAGTCATTCCTTAGTAATTCTGAAGAAGGTTTATTCTTAACAGATTTTGCCAACCAATGGCTTGCTGAGCATTGGTAATTCAATTTAGACACAAATAGTAGCAAATGAAGTGGTCGTGTGGATGTTTTTGCGACTGTATAGTACATTATTTTTAAAATACTTTGGACTATGTGTAATTTAATTTTAATATGAATACTTACAGACCTCAAGGTATTTGTTGCCATGATGTATATGCCAGAGCCGTAGCTAGGGTTTTCAGCACCTGGGGACAACTAAAGATTTCACACCCCCTGATGTTTGCCAAAAACTGAAAACATTTAATTCTGAAACTTTCTAGCATCAGTGTAGCACCCTCTTTATGCCACGTCTGGAAACAAATTCCCCTCCTAACTACACTACCGGGTCGCGGACACTTAGCCGAAGGCACATACAGCCGACAGGATTAAACTGAAAAGGACACTTAACCGAAAAGACACTTACCTGTAAGGACAATTAGCCCACACGGACATTTAGCCGACACACAGAGTTACTGTCAAGACATTTAGCTATGGGACACTTAACTGCCAAGACATTTAGTCCACAGGACACTAAGCCGAGAGTGACATTTAGCTGACATGTACCCAATAATTATTTAAACTTACTTGATTGTGCTAATGTTGCAAGACTTTAAAAATTTCGTCTTTATTTTTACATAACACAATGAAGTGAAATATAATTATTTAGATGGAGAATAATGCATAAACAAGTTTCATGTTAATTTTTTCAATTATTTTTTTCTTTTGGGAGTTACTGGGTTACCTGATTATTGGTCACTGGCTTATTTTATGAGTTATCCCACATCAGCATTTTAATATATAGATTCTCTGAATAATCATTGTATTTTGTATATTTCAGTAAGAGCTTTTGTTAATATGATATTGCCTACGGAAAAATATAAAAAAGAGAGATTTCTAAAAGATTTAAAAGTAGTTTAAATAAAAAAAAAAGACACATTCTTAAAATATTCTTCTTTATTGAATTTTACGATGTTTAGAGTACATGAAATAGTATGAACCTAGATATCACCAAGCATATTCAAGTACACAAAAGAGCCCAGAAATTTCACAATACAGTAATTTTTATCAATAATTATTTTCACCCTTTCTTTAAAAAGAGTAAAAAGTTATTCGGTATTGAGTTAGCAAATTGAGTAGAATATAAAGTTCTATTTGTTTTCGAAATTGAGATTTACATACTTCACTAATCGCCCCTACAGTAAATTAAATATTAAGATATATCAGGGTAGCACAAAATAACCCAAACAAATGAACTTCTACCCAAGATGTACAAACAAGTTACCAGAACATTAACAACTGCTTTCTTGTATACCATTTTTGCACAAAAATAACGCAAAAATGGTATACAAGAAGCTTGGTGATCGGAAAATGATGCCAAAAGTTCCTGGCGCAACGGTCGTCTCTGATTGGTTGAATTTCTCCAGTTCCTGGTGGGTTTTAGCCGCCCGTCTTTTCAGGATGTGATGCTTTGGTCCGCGTACTTGGTTTATGGCCCCCTCCTTCTGCAGCTTCAGTAATGAATAAAACAAAACCTTAAAGAATATTTCTAAATTAAACATTATGCACGAATTTAGGGCTGTAAACATTAACCTAAGTAAGTATTTTAAGCGAGATGCGTGGTCAATAAAATGTTACAGAATTTCTATCTCAAGAATGGTGGCATGAACAGTAAATTATAGAGATCACAAAAAATTTATACCCTTGCTTGTCTTAAAAATTTGCTTTTTTTTAATTGTTTTTAATAACAAAATAAAATATATTTGCTAAACTAACCTTTACCACCATATTTTTCTATAAAAAAGTATAATTCAAGAATAACAATAATTTTTATCACATTATTCAGATTTTTCATGTCAGGGAAAGGAAATTTCATTAGTGGGAGGAGCCAAACACTTTTGTAAGGGAAAGAATGTAACATGATGTAATGAGTAAAATACTAATGAAACGTAAAGGTATTAGAAATTTGAAAGCATTTGGAAGAGTGAGATTGGAAACTTAATGCCTTTAAGTAAACAAGAAAAATTATTAATGATGTAAAGGTGTTCAAAAGAACCCAATTGATTAAATGAAGAAACTTTACGAATAATTTTTTAAGATCATATTAAAATGTAACTAAGTGACCGTCGTACTTAGCTAAAAATATTTCTTTTTTCCTTTCGAAATTTGATTCATATTCCCTGACGAGAAATTTCAGCGCTTTTTCAATTTGGCCAATATACACCAAACAGAACGATACATATCAAACAATGCTAAATTACTAAGCACATATGAGCCCTTTAAGAATCGAAAAAGGAATTTTACTGATAGGTAAAAAAAAAAAAAAAAAACTTAAATATTGAACTTATGTCTAAGTCGAGAAATTTTGTAATTGATAGTAAGTTTAAATAATTATTGGGTACGTGTCAGCTAAACGTTACTGTCAGTTTAGTGTCCTGTTGAGTAAATGTCTTGACAGTTAAGTGTCCCGTAGCTAAATGTCCTGAAGGTAACTCTTTGTGTCGGCTAAATGTCCTGTCGGCTCACTGTTCGTGTTGGTTAAGTGTCCTTGTCGGCTAACTGTCCGTGTCGGCTAAATGTCCTGTCCGCTGAGTGTCCGTGTCGGCTAAATGTCCATGTCGGCTAAGTGTCCGTGTCGGCTAAATGTCCTGTCGGTTAAGTGTCCTGGATCCCTACACTACTGGTATATATGAAGAAATGCTTTCAGGCAGACTTTTTATTTATCTTAAATATTACACTAGGTGAAAATATAACATATACAAGAGAATTAGAAACCTACACATATGCAGAATTGCTAGTTAATTAGACGTAGCTGGTTAATAACAAATTCCACACTATGATAACCAACATTTTCCTTTGGAACAATACATTAGTGAAACTGATACTTCCAGTGGAGGGGGAAAAATACTTTCATCATCAGCTCATTTTGTTTGTTAAAAACTTCCCGAAATGTAGTTTAATAAATCCAGCCCACAGAGAAGAAAACGAAGTGAGAGACATTACGAATTTTTATTCATGCAATTCACTTTGAAAACAAAATTATACATGATAAGAAAAGCAGATTTAATTTTACCAGTGGCCATTAGCCAATATTTTCACATTTGTGTTTCTGTAGAAAACTGTTTGGTGTCTGTCAGTTTATTCTAATCTAAGTTATACACTTTATCTTTTATATATACATATAATTTTATATACTTATAATGATTTTTTTTTCAGCGTTCTTCTAATGGCAGGATTAAGCTTATCCTAAAATTATTCTGAAGGCTCGTTTGCATTATAAAATTCTGAATCAGAGAAATACATATGAAATTGATGATTGCTTTTGAATCGGAATTTGATTAATCTGATATAAACTTGGGAAATAAAATGCTTGAATTCTGAATATGTGAGATGAAAAGTTTGACCAGTCAAAGATATGGAAGTTATCAAGAGGCAATTTGTTGATGCTGCATGCTGAGCAACATTGTGCAAATGTCAGTTGCAATAAATAATTTTATCAATAATTTAAATGTTGCAAATCATCTTTCTTTATAAAATGAAAAATAAAAATGTTCTCAAAGCTAAAATAGTGTTCCTTGTGATTAGTAATTTGCTGCTAAAGTCGAAAAGATATTATGTAAATTTATCTCTGAGTGTCAGCAATTATGTCCCTTTCAATATCAGATCCTTTCTGATTATCCGCAATTCCAGAAAAAGTCACTAAATAATTAATTAACTTTGTGAATCGGGAAAATATTTTTGTTTGGCTCTCTTTATGGCTTATAGGTATTGTACTTTTTATACACAATATTAAAAAGAAGTATTTTTTAAAGAAAGGAAGAAACTTTAGCAGGAAAAGTGGAAAACTATATTATTTTCGTTTTTACAACTGGTAGATATGCTTTATTGCAGATATGATTGTTAAGCATAAGGAATGTTAATCTTCATCAACACAAACACACCGGTGGTATGTACACTGTTCACAAAAAATCGCGTTTTTCACGTCTCGTAACCGCGACGTAGGATATATATTAGATTTATATGTAGCCAGTCTCGCGCCAAACCTAATCGGTGCCGTCGTGCAAATGTCTAGCTAGCGCCTTTATGCAGTGACGATATTAAAGAGAAACTGCTTATGGTTAACACTTAAAGTGAAGTATTATTAAGATAACATTAAAAATAAACTCAAAAAATTACATTTTATGTTTTAATTATTTTATATGTGCAAACATTTTTTGCTTTCTTAAAACCCACACTCAAACATTTATTGAAGAATTATACATTATAAAAAATAATATTGGAAATAATATACTAAACGCATTGGATAACAAATATACTGCTTAACACTACTTATTTTCTTGAAATTAAAAACAAATTAATTTACATATCTAATAACTTTGCACCGAATAAATTGTTGTTCGCAGCGTCGTTTACGACAAGGTTCGAACTGTGATTACAACAGGGCACAAAAAATACTCTAGGATTGATGTTCACAATTCTTTTCTGACCACCTCTATGTTGTTGACAACGATATAGAGTTTCAACCGGCGATGCTATATATTTTCCAAAAGTTTGCAAAAACTACAGTTCATTCACAAGATTGCACTATTTATCGCGCTTTCATTTTTATTAGTTAATGCTTTTTGCAGTTTTTGCTGAGTTGATCTTGTACTAAACAGAACAGAAATGCCGATGCGTATGTAAGGGTAGACACGTTCCACAAATTGCTTAATCCTTATTTTGTGTCTACTGTTGCAATGTAACAATTATTGTTTTGGTGATTGCTTATTGTTATTGTTATTATACATAAAAAAGTTAAGTGTAGTTACTTATTATGAATTAGGTTACATTTTTAATTCAGAAAAGCGACGATTTGAGTATAATTACTCGAAATTTTTTTTTATATGAACTATTTGTTTATTAAATTTTAAACTATTAGCTTTCGAGAAAAAGGATTGACATATTAGGGAATAAAATTGAATTTATAATATAACTATATGAGATTTGAAGTGAAGTAAAAATATACAAGGTGCTCTGAAATTACAAATTGGCCATTTTCTCATTTTTAGCTGTACGGAAAACCGACGGAAACTTGATCGTTATTTCATTACATCTTAAATACATACTTTAAATTTGATTTATTTATTTTGATAAACAAAGTGTACCACTACCTCCTTGAATTATTTGGTATTGATCTAATAGTTCATATTTTTTACCAGCAATGGTTTAAGTTTTAACTCAGTTTTTCAGAAGGAATGTAAAATATTTCAAACAGTGACTTTCCGAGTGTTTTGAATAAGAAATGTTTCTCGCGGTTTTTCTTATAATAGTTATTTTCTACTTTTATTTCTGTTTTCATTTTTTCCCAGATGTCGGAAGAAAAATAGGAAAAGCTGTCTGGGCATCAGAATTTAATGAAGAAAAGAAAACGTGAGGAAGACTTTAAATTTACTTAGTTTATCCAAAACCCAGATAATAATACCCAAGCTGACGCTATCAGCACGAGTTATCCATCAACGTCTCAGCCATTAAAATTACCAAAAAAACATAATAACCAGAAAGGGTTAGAAATTGTTTTCAGCCGCAAATTACCTTTAACTTCAATGCAGCCGGTCGAAATAACATAAGAAATAATTGTGAAATCTACAGTTTCTGCAATAGATACGCATTTGGACGTAATGATACGCATATAGATGCTTGAAATGTACTTTTTGTCGAATCTTGCCAAATAATGGAAACTTTAAAAGGGATTGGTTGCTAAGTTCTGAGGGAAAAAATTCTGTGTATTGTTTTTGTTGCAAAATTTGCATTTTTCAGTAGCGTAAAATTGAGTAGCTCTGGATTTGATGACTGGAACCACTTAAGTGAGCACTTAAAACCTCATGAAAACAGTAAAATGCGTTTTAGGAATCTATATCTTTTGTCCGATTTCTTAGAATGATTGCGAAAGAATAAAGTTGTTGATTCGGAATATCAAAATTTATTAAAAGGAACTAAGCATTAACGCGATACTATTGAAAGAATTATCTATACCATTCAGTTTTTAGTCAAGCAAAACTTACCCTTTCGTGGTTTCAGTAACAAATAATTTGAAAGAAATAATAATTTTTTTTTAAAGTGTATGGAAATGATCGCAAAACTTGCCTGTATCATGTGCTAATATTAACGAAATTTAAAAACATATGCCTCATTAACTTGGAGATAAAATTCAAAATGATACAACTAGCATATTATGGGATAACATAAAACAAGCTATTTTAAATAAGATCAAACAGACCCAGTATTTTTCTATTTTACTTTAATGTGCTCCTGATGCCAGCCATCAAGAGGAGATATCAGTTTCTATGAGGTATCTTAATTTAGAAAATACAGACGTGATTTTTGAAGAAACGTTTTTAGTATTTTGTCTTGCAACAGAAACTACAGATTGAAGGACTAACAACGTTCTTATTTTAGACTTCAGAGAAAAATGGTTTAGATGTTAGTAATTTACGCGGCCAAGGATATGACAATGGCTGAAAAATGAGAGGTAAACATTTTTCGAGTAATTATGCTCAAATCGTTACTTTTCTGAATTAAAATTTATTATAATTTGTAACAGTGCTTACCTTTTGTTATGTAAGATAACCATAACAACAAGCAATCAGCAAAAGAAAATCACAAAAAAGATAAATGCTGTATAAATTACTAGGATTGCAACAGTAGACACGAAATAAGGATTAAGCAATTTATTCAACGCCTCTACGATGCCAGCGTCTACCCTTACATACGCGTCGACATCGCGTATTTTCACGTCCATTAAGGCATAAGAGAACACCAGAGACGAACTTCTGCCCTGGTGATAACTTTCGTTCAAATAAGACAGTGTGCTAGAAGGAAGGGGCACCCAGACCTGGTAAGCTCGAGACTACTTTAACGCAGTTAAACGCCCCAACCCCTAGAGGAGATCCAAAAACCACTAGCCTATCGATCGAGCCAAATCGACAAGAATACTGAGTAACTCAGATTCCACGTGCCCGTTCTGGAGGGAAGGTAAAAACATCTGCCATTAACAGGAGCGCCAACCCCGCACAGCAGAACAAAGTCACTTAAACACTATCAGGCGTACCGGGCCACCAATCCGGCCTGCTAACACTCTCTCATGGTATACAGACGTCGGTTCCAGGCGCCGCCAGGGGGGAACCAAGGATAAGGATATAAATATGCAGTTTTGAGGCTCTAGCCGCCCCCTGAAAACCTCAAACAGTAAAGGCTCGCTGAACTCTCCACCTTCACCGACAGGGGTGTTTCCCACCTGGACAACCATGAATATCTGACTATATAGCTCCATCACAAACAACGGAACGGACAAGACAATATCACATGGTCCCTGCCGAACATGAACTAGCCATCGCCAGCGATGACTCTAGTCCGTGAAAACCGATTTTATACCCTTGTGGCCGAGACTACCTGAGTACAGATTATAACTAGTAGCATCCCAGGTTTTACCTGAGTCGACACCCCGGGGGCATTCAAATAAGACAATGCACTAGAAGGAAAGGGCATCCAGACCTGGCAGCCTTTACACGGTTAAATCGCGGGATCGGTGGGGATGCGCCTCCATGGAGGCCATCTGAGGAGGCGCCATAGCCCGGATCTACGCAGGGGAACTTAAATGTTTCACATAGAACATGGTCATTGTTAGACATTGACCATCACCCAACTTTGATCAACGGGAAGCCCCATCCCCCAAAGCGCAACCTTCGAAACCATGTAACGCCCTCACAATCAAGAGGAAGTCAGGACAGTAGCAGTACGTTCCCTGCCGAGCCTGAACCTACCACTGAATAAACGATGGTTTTAGTCACTGAGAAGGCAGTTTACTTACTCAGAAGTCGAAGTTGTCTAGATAACGATCTAGCCAGTACACTGGGATTGCCAGTCCCACTCGAACCCCAGAGGTGGTCATCCGAACATAGCCCAGGCGAATGTGGCTACTAGCGTGAACACGAGGAGGCCTCTATCGGATTAGGTCAGCGAGAGGCTAGAATTTTCCTGTTAGGACATAAAGCAAAATATTCTGCTTGTTTTAATGACCGCCCGGCGCCTTTTTGACACGGCGCCGTCGTGCGCCGCAAGATCCTGCACCTATTGTCGGCGCGGGCCTGTATGTAGCATTGTTCTAATATAGGTATTTTGACACAAAATCGGACTTTTTCTGAAATAACATGGCAATTGTTTTTCCATATTCTGATTCTACAACTCAAATTACGCTTAGATATTAAATTTTGTAAAATATGGTGCGAAATTTACGGAGAAATTCAAAAATTGTTTTTGGCTCAATTGTTTTCAGTTTGCGCCAAGAATAATACACTTGGCAAACTTCTTGATGTATGGCAACCAATTTTCCTTTTCCTCCCATTATGCCGGAGCGGAAAAAAAGTCACTTCGTTCCTACTTTCAAACCGCTGCTGGTTAATTTTGCTCTGCAAGTATTAACTCTTCGAATGCCGAATTCACTTTTATATACACAGCAGCTAGTTGCAATTAAATCTCACCTTTAATTTCATCGCTAGACCTTCATCTATTCATTTAACTTTGTTTGTCA